GGCAGATGTGGACAAAAGTGATTGTGAACAAAATCGATGACAGAGACGGTGACTGTAACGCCTCCGATCATTTATAGACCGGGAATGCTACTCATGAACACTTAAATGTCCAATCAGAGATTCCCAGAACACATCCAAAATCTCTAGACAAGACTTCTAAGTATTCATCCCCATCAATTACATTTCAAAACTTGCCAACCAGAGACATACACGATAGTTACTGCGTCCGGACAAAGACTAGTATCACATGAAATCCGAATTATGTGAACTCATTTTTATATAATTATACTTAAGTTCTAAACGTGATACCAAAGCATATACAATCATGAGTCTAACACTCCAAAACGATTATGTACATAATAAACATTACTCATTTACAAAAAGGCAAAAAAATCTACCACTGGTTTTCCTAACGTTACTTTTTGCTCCCAGTGGTCTACCCGCTAGTGGTTGCATGCAACACAAATTGAGTCGTGAGCACTAGTTGCTCAGTGAGTCGTGAGCACTAGTTGCTCAGTGAGTCTAGGCTCCCCTAACATTGAATAATTAATTTCCAACCAAACCCAAAATAACAATCAACACACAAGCATGCATATTATTCAATGCATATTAACATTGAATAATTAATTTCCAACCAAACCCAAAATAACAATCAACACACAAGCATGCATATTAAGATGGTGAATGTAATAAGTTATGAATTAATGTTATATTTCACTAAGGCCTTTCGCGTAGACTATTTCCCTTCACGTCAGATCACAAGGTATCATTCAGCCCAAAGCCACAAAGCCTAAGGACTTAAGATCCTTTACCATTCCAATGGCCTTACATGTATAAGGATCCACACCGGAAATCCTGCATCGTCATGCAGTACACGGCCAAATGCTGCAATCCCGTTTCTCCATGTCTTCGTGCACTTATACTAATACTCAACGTACTAGCTAAGCCACAACCTCAAGGGAACGTCTTACCGCGATCATCACAATTTTATAAGTTTTACTAACTATTAAGTTGTATGTAAACTTATAAATATGCATCAACATATCTACTTAGTATTTTCCACATGCTAAAGTTTTTAACACGTCTACCAATCAAGCAGCAATGAACCTCACTTGGATATTAATTAAAACACGCAACAAGTATCAACGAAACTGACCTTTAACTTAGTGCAAGGGTCGCGGCTTTGCCCAGCGTTTCCTACTCTCGGTTTGCCTTAGACTCGAACTAGAAGTCTGCATAAACAGATCGGCCTAGTTATTGATATGATCATGGGAAGTAGCAGGAAGAATATGATGAGCACGTCGAACCACTAGGTGAATCAGAGCTCAATCCAACCAGATGCATATTTTGAATCTAACGAGAAAGG